TTTTCTACCTGAAAACCTTAAGAGTGTCTTAACTTACCGCGCAAATGTAAGTAGAATTTTTTCTAAGCAGAAACAAACGAATGTTCTCAGTTTCCTAAGATCAAAAGTAATTTAGAACAGGAATTTTTTTTTTTTTTTTATTTTTTTTTTGAGGGGAAAACGATATATTGATATTATAGCCGAATCGAGTTCAGCATCTTTGGTTCGTATTCGTTATAATTATTTTTGAATTCAGCAATCGTTATGCATTTGGAATGGAAAAGTGTCCCTATTTACTTTGTTTGTAACCCAAATTTTTCGTGCGGATTATGAAACGCATATTTTATAGATAGTACATATTATACAGTATTACAATTCTACTAATATTAATATACTAGTGTTAACTCTAGATGTTTTGTCTGATGCCAAATATGTTGAATAGCGTTTGATATGCGGTCGCATACCAGTCATATGCTTTAAATGCTTGGGTTAAGAGTTGGGTTGTACGCCTATACCGGAATGAAATGAATGCAATTAATTTATGGGCGGTTGGATTAGGTTAAAGGTTGTTTCTTCGGGGTTCTCGAATGGCGTCCACGAAGTTAGCCCCACCAAATCGACTGATTCACACGAAACCAATGTTAATATTTTGCACATTTTTGTCGAGAAATAATATATTTGATTTGCGGTTCGTAAAAATGGATTTACATTTATTTGCAATCGATTTGCGCAAAATATTGGCATTAGTTTCAAACGGATCAATCAACTTGGCGGGGCTGACTTCGTGAACATGATCGATTGCTATTGCGTGCGCGGATTTAATTCACCTCGAACAGCTAAGAAAATGTACTCGTATACACTTGGATTTGAGTAGAGACTGTTTTTTTTTACAACACACTCAGGTGGTAATTAAACAATTATTTCTTATCACTCGGTTTCGATCAATTCGTATGTGTAGACGTAGAACGAGCGGACGATCGCGACTGTATCGTGATCAGTGTAATTATTAATTATACGAATTTGCCACAGTAATTAGTATAAATAATAATTTGTTTGTACGGGTTTTTTTCTTCTTCTTCGTGTACTAGGTTATTTTAATATTGAGTTTTATTCCGCAGACATAATAGGCGGAATGTGCGCGTTGAGATTACATTTAATTTACCGAATACGTTATCGACGACACATATCGAACCGGTATTATAATAACATGTACCTTCAATCACGTACATGATAACGATACTGGTACATTTTTATTCTCTTTCCTTCGCAGTTCTTCGCGTTTATTAATGTATCCGTGAAACTACATAAGCGAATTGCGGGTCCGAAGCACAGAATTAATTACGTAAATGCGATTTGGCAACCGCCAGTATTAATAGCTTTTATTTTTCATGAAAAAAAAAAAAATGTCAAGGTCTCGTTTTTTACAATAACTGTCGAGAAAAACGTATTATAGATAACTATATAACAGCGCACAGTCGATCGTTCGTTTGTTTCGTTTTTCATACTATGCTCGTCGAGGATTTATTATACGTTTCTGTTGTGTAAGCATCGAGTGAATTTAATGAAACTTACATAAATATTTCACACGTGAAAATGTACTAAGATATTTTAAAAGTACAAAATATCAATTAGGTGGCGAATTATATAATTGAACGAATTGAATCTGGATTTGCAAAGCGAGGAAAAAGAAGCAAAAAGAAGAGTTGGCAAAAATGATGCGCGGAAGTCTTGAAAAATTTCTTCCTACCTCCAACAAAGTAGACACCACAAATATAAATGAAAAGAGCCATGACGTTTCAATTGAAAAAAACACATTGGAAAATAGCATGAAAAATAATTTTGAAATTGACGAGACACTAAAATATAATGATATCGAAGAATGCTTAAATTTTGGTGAGGAAAAAGTTGATACCACTGATAATTTTTCACTTGAAAATCATAGATTGGGAGATATAACACCTATTTCTACTATTATCAATAAATTAACTGATGATCACTTAAATGAAAATAAATCGTATTTATTAAAAGACCATGTGAATTAGCCAATCATAATGAATAACAAAACAGAATGCGAAATAGTTAAATTGGGCCCTAATCGTGTTAATATTGTTGACGACATTTAGTAGAACTAGGTATAACCGCTATAGTTTATACATTTTTGTTCTCTTGATCAAAATAAAACAAATATAAATACTTTGAAAAATGCAGATAAGTGTTGTTTACTGTCACATACACTAACACAATGATAATTCGATAATATTGGCTTTGGAAAAATATATAAAAACAAAAATAAATTAAAATTTATAATTAAGTATGAGCGTAGCGAAAAAAAAACATTTATACAAGTAGTAGGTATTTATTGAATTTCACTCCAATATTATGTTGTTCAGGGGTCCATTGTAAATTTTTTGTCGAAAGTCCAATCATGAGCCAGACCGACCCTGAACATATAATCGTTTTAAATTGTTTTTATTATAATTTTAAATTTACAAGATTTTTTTTTTTTTATTGTCATTGAATCATAATATGACTTTCGGCAATGGTTAATTTTACGTTGATAGTAAATTACAGAATTATTCAAAATTATTAATAGCTAGATATAGGTAACTTAATGAAATACATAACTAAAAACATATAATATAAGCACTAATAATAACTACAGGAACCCTTATCCAATGAACCAGTGATTACAGTGTAATCTGTAGTTTTGACAACCAACTCTGAGCATCAGGGCCACCTTTATGAAGTTGTTCGATACCACGGCCAAATTTAGTTGCTGGGCATTTATCAGTTATATGACGAATTGATTGTACTTCATTGCAATTGCAAAGATTGGATTCGAGCATATCCCAGTTTTGTAATAATTTATTGTACTTCCCTTGTTTTTAACTATACAAGATAATTCCCAAAGTTTAGTTGTGTTATCTTCAACATATAATTTTTTAAAAACAGTTTTGTTTCGGTTTGGATTTTTCCAATGCTATGTTTTCAAAAATGGTCTGAATATTTTATTTTATAGTTAAAACCACAAGTAGTAATGGAGCTAGGACAGATGAAGCACAAGTATTTATTCCCGGGCGTAAAATTTTTAAAATCATTTTTAGAGTGTGATTATAATGTAATATTCTTATGTACTGTAATGGGTAATGGGAAATTAAATGATACACTGTTACAACTACATTAACGTTATTATATATTTTTTTTCTATTATTCGACATTTTAAATAATTCGAACAATACATTTTTAATCATAAAATATATCAAAGTCATAACATTTCAGTATTATATTTTTATAAAATATGCTACAAATATTTTTACGTAAATTATGAAATAATAAGCAGTAATCAAATATTTTAAAACAATAGTTATTTAATTTTTTATTTATTTTATTTATTAATATAATAACAGTTAAATAATATATTTGATTTATAAGATCAAACTCGAATAATTAAAAATAAGTGGTAATTTAATCCATTTTATTTAAAACTTTAATTTATCATCGAATACAATGTAAGTATGATACAACGGGCGAGTCCGTTTTCAATCAAAACCGTACCCTTCCCTTTTCGGCCAATTCACTTTTCGACCAAAATCGTACCCTTTCCTTTTCAGCCGATTCACTTTTCGACCAAATTTAAAATAGGCCGATTCCCTTTTCGGCCAAAACAAAAATTTATATAATAAATTTAAAATCATAAAATAATGATGTAAAATGTTTGATTATGATGGAAACTATCATAATATATTAATGACGATTCAAGGTTTTATTCACGTAGCGAGGTTTTAGATTCACATACAGAGCATAATCCCATTTGCTATAGTTTCAACGTTTGTATAAAAACTAGGTTAGGCTTGGACTATAATTCCCTTTCAGGTGACGCCCCACCCCCCTGAAAAGTGCCATGCAGTGGTACTCGAGTTGGTGGGTGGATCTGGCAAGCGTAACGAGTGAAGTCCTAAAATTATTAAAATTACAATTTCGATTTTTCGAAAAAAGAAATGGAAACAATTATCATTACAGTAAGAGTTTAAAAATATCGTCCTCTTTTATATTAATATTTTAATAAGTATTGACAACAACTGTGCATAATAATTTTATTATTTTATATTTAATACATAAATGTTTGTTTTGTAAAAAAGGGAATCGGCCTATTTTTAATGTGGTCGAAAAGTGAATTGACCGAAATGGGAAGGGTACGATTTAGGTCAAAAAGTGAATCAGCCGAAAAGGGAAGGGGGTACGTTCTTGGTCGAAAATGTGGTTTCAAACTCACCCTTATGAAATTTTAATACTTTCGAATTAAAAAAAATATATGAATTTAACTAAAATATTAAGGCACACTATATTAATAGAAAAACTTCAATGATTTCTTCTATATTTGATTGAAAATAGATACTAGTTATAGGCATTTTTTAACTTGATGCATTTTCCGCCGAAGGGATATCGTACAAATTTTATAAACTATAATACAAATTCATTCAAAATATATATGAAGACTAAATATGTAAATATTAATACATAATACATAATATGTATAAATTTGTATTACAGTTTTTAAAATTCGTACGATAGCCCTTCGGTGGTTAGTTTTAAGTTTAATGTTTTAAGTTAAAAAATGCCTATGACTAGTATCTATTTTCAATCAAATACAGAAAAAAATCATTGAATTTTATTTTTAGAATAGTGTACCTTAAAATTTTTTAGTTTAATTTATAATTTTTTTTTTTATATCATATTTTTTTTTAAATCGAAAATATTAAAATTTAACTAGGATAAGTTTGAGCATATAAATTTAAATAATGATCTCCCGATAGCTACTACATTCTAACTATACGAAATTTCCTGTTAAACTGAAAACAACGTTGATGATCGGAGCATTTAACCAAAGAGAATATCCAGAAAATAAAAATAAATTTTAAATTTTAAAAATCGCATTCCATGGTAAAACATATTCTTCGAATCGCCCGAAGTCAAAAAGAGAATTGATAAGGTAAGGTAAGATCTAAAAAATGCAAAATATTCTATGCATCTTGCCTTACGTAAATGACCTTTTTCCGATTTAAAAGGTCGATTCTATCTTCCATGTCTTTAAGGGTTCTCTCTAAATGGGTCTTTCTTCTGACCTTGGCTATCGTGTCAGTAACTACCGGTAACAACAGAAATTCCGTGTTCAATTTATTCATTTTTATTTCTTGTGCCTATATAAGACATTCAGATTTTATTGAAAAAAATGGTACAAAAAGAAAGACCGTTACTCTTACGTTTATCAATTCTGATCGTTCTTGAGGTGTCACGAGACGCAACGGCGACAATGGCTTGCTTGCGTTGATTTTCTCGATTTCTAACCGTTTCGCCGTTTTCATATCATCATGCATTTTAATGATGTATTTGGGCATTTTGCCGTAATTCTGTCGCAAAACACGAAATCAACGTTAAAAAAATAAATAAAACAAAATGCGATAACGGTAAGTAAATAATATTTTGTCACTTTAAAGTAAGTATTTTTTATTTTTTTCCCTCTATGAAAAGTACATTATTTATTTAAAAAGTTTACAAAGGCATTTAAATAATTATACACGAATCGGAAGAACATAGTTTCTCAACACGAATTTAATTCGTTTGGCGAAAAATCCATTAGCGACACTTTACTTTGAAGCTCGAGTATGATTATAGTTCATTTGGTCACACTAGCAAGTCACTCAACCGTCGAAATGACTCGGGTGGCATCACCTTTTAGAACGGTTCAGGAGAGCGATGAGTACATGAAAACGCTTCATAGTCGTGTAGATCAGTTACAACCCATGAAACTGCAATGTCTGTCCAGAGTGGAATAAAAGTGGAATTTTTTGTTTTTAACAAATTATAAGACATTTATTTTCGTATTGAAAAAATATCTTTGAATTTATATTAAATTTCCATTTAACATGATGCGTACCAATTGCAAGAAAGTCAACAAAATATAATATAATTCACTAGCTGAATTACCCGTCGCTGCCGGATTACGGTAATTGCAAGGTTCGATGTTCTTCTTGCGTGCCGAATATTAAATATGACACGGAACGAAATAAACAATTTTTATCGCCTACTATGGGAATTAATTGATATTCCATTTTAAACAAAAGCGGAACAATGTATATAGTAAAATTTGTAATTTGTTCTATGTTGTACGCGAAAAGACAATATGAAAAGACAATGCGTAAATTGAGAATAGCATTTTTCTTGTTGTTTTTTTCGACGATGGTTCAGATGACGACACGACGACGATAACGAAACAGTGCACAATGCCACAATGTAAAATATAATAAATGTACATCGCCGCCGACGACGACAAATCTACAGACCTGTAGTACTGCAGCAGAAGTAGGAATAGTGGAAGTTATACAGGCGGCAGAAAAATATATTGGAAGTGAATTGACGGAAAAGGTCTAGACAAAGTGTATGGTTAGTCTATCCAAACTTACCAAAACTCTATATTAAATTGGACTTGAAACTTGAACTATTAGATGCGATGGCTCTGAACTGATTAAACGTTTACTTAGAAATTCAGTTATCCTACATAGATATATTACTAATAAATAATAATAATAATAACTACGGCCAAAACATCTGTTTTAAACGTTAACAGTTTTTTTACATCATCTTTGACGATATTTGCAGCATGTTCTGTTAATTCTATGTCAAACGTTAAAGGCTGCATTAAAAAGTTTATATTGTCCAAAGCGCTATGGTTAGACTAGAAATAGTTTTATATGGTGGTTAAATATTCTTAAATTTTCTAATTTTCCGCGCAGTTTTATTAATTTTTTCTTTCACAAAGCTACAGTACTCCAGTAGACGTAGTAATGTAGAGTTATACCGGCGTCGTCAACGAATGCCGCTATGTAACAATACGGTAAACTTAATTCTTTTAATAACTATTAATTAATTCATATTTTGGACTTTTCTCTTTTGATGGCTCATCTGCACACTGAGTACTTGCGTTAGAAAAGGAAATCATGAAAATCGGTCCAGTAGAACTTCAGATATAACTGTCATAAAAAATCGCCTCGCGTTTTAATAATATTTAAAGATAAAAATTTTCGTTACAATTAACTCCCCTCCCTATTTCAGGTTAGCGTTTGTCAGACAGTGACTACCACCTTTTTATCTTACGTCTACCTTTTTCTCAGACCTTTAATTTTTTTTTTCATGTTTATAAAATGAATTTCTTCAATAATCAAAATAAAGATAAAATGCTTGTTAAACAGTATTATGTATTGTATTATACGCGAAAGGAGGGAGTGTTAGACGGATTGCACACGTACAGGTGCATTCAATAAGAGTATTTCAAGGGTTCGACCCCCCCCCCCCCTCCCAGAATATTTTTTTGTATATGTGCCTGTACACATAGATTAATAAAAATTCAATGAAATCGATGAAGTATTTGACTTTTAAATCCAGAATTATTTTTTACGTACTTTATTTAGTACATATTTGGGTTCCAAACCGGCTTCGTTCAAAACGATTACGTGACCGTTTCTCGTATCTTGAACCCGGTGCTTCGGCAACGGCGGCACCTTTCTCACCACGTCGATAATATTCATCTGAATAAAGTTTTTTGGGACTTCATCCCGTAAACTCTTCCACGGCTTTTTAGTTGCACCGGTACCGTGAAGTTGGGGTGCCGATTTCATAGGGCACACATAATTAGTTTTTTCTGGAAAGCGTTCGTCAAAAGATTGTAACCAAGCGCAACAGATCGCTCGTATATGTGTATCTTACCGACAAATGGCCTCGTCACTTTTCTGGTGTTCTTCTTCAAAAATTGTGTTGGTGATTTGAGCGGAACCTCGGCGTAGCCCATAGTCCGGTGACAGTCTCTGTTTGTCTTATACATCGTCTTCACTGAATTAGAAAAAATTGAGCGATACATAGGAGGTTTGATCACGGGTGTGATTGGTCTTGGAATCGAGAATTTGATGTTTTCCATGTTCTTGGGTTTCGACATTTTCGATTGATTATTCGACAAATAAAAATTAATCAACTAATAAAGTAAAATACTGATGAGGTAATGAATATTAAATTTACGCGTTTTTAATGAATAATTCAAAAATCGTTGTTTGTACTATAGATATATTTTATCATGGTAACCGTTTTACATATCATAGTTACACTATATTTATTTAAAAAAATCAACTGATTGACCAGAAAATAATAATTTGATTGGAAATTTGAAAAACTCATAAAAATGATACGGTGTTTTTACCTTTATTTGACAAATATTAATGAATATGCCTTCACATTGCATTACTCCACATTACTAAAACTGTAGATGTTTGTACTCTGCGTGTATATAACGGGAAAAACTCTAACATGGGGTCGAGCTTAATTAGATTTTTCCCTGGTTCGGTCAGAATCGATTAAAAACTCGCATATTTAATGTTGAGAAATGCGAAAGGAAATTAGACAATTTAAGACCATATTGTATGGTATCAGAAAGATTAATTAGTTTCATTAAAAAATCGGACGCCAACTTTTACTATTACCATAACAGTGTACATATTATTTTTATAATTGATAACACGGAAGAGTTTAAAATTATTCATTAATAGATTATTTTCAATTTAGTTTGCAATAAGAGCACTTAATATTGTTGTATACAAATATCGAACGTCTAATGCAGGTTAAAAATTCGGAGTGGTGGTGAGGTGTTGAAGAAATTTAAAATATAAAATGTTGATAAACAGCATAATTTATTATTATACTCATTATATAATATATATATTTATAAATTGTATTGGCTCATGGGAAACTTTGAAATAACTATTACATTTTTAGATACGTGATTTTTTTTTTTATGAACCGTGTTCTAATATTTCGGTGAGGAAGGGGAGATGGTGTTGAACGTCTAAAATCTCACCAGCGTTCGTGTCCGGTGTAATTTTACTATTCGTATCTAATTACCGTTGATCGTCATAATTATTACGTTAACAATAACAATAAATAATTACCTACGGTTTATTATTATACTTCTTCTTCGGCCCTAAGGACCATCCCGACATACAACCTTGCCTCCAGTTTTACCTACCCGACGATTTTGCTCTCCAATCCACACATCCTCCTAACGCATCGACATCCTTCCCTATCACGTCCTCCCATCTCAAACGCGGTCTACCGCGCGGTACTTTCCCGGTGTTGTGCGTTCGGTCGATCATTAGTAAAATTTTGAAATCGCGAAAAATCGGCGGCTGAAAAACCCGTACTCGTTGCACGTTTACGGTTGTCTTGCCGCGAAGAAACGCCGAAAAACGAAAAAATTTAAACCGGGTTTGGACGGGGGTCGGAAAATCTCCTGCGTGTGACATGCGCGTTTGCTGTTACGATCGACCGACTGGTTAGGTACGTCGTAAGATCGCTGGCAACGAACGCGCATGCCAAACACTCGACGTACTCATCGGACGCGTTCAACGTACCGTCATGATGTTATCGACGGTTTAACGCGTTCTTATACGGCTCCTCGTTAAAGTTGACATTTCTGTTGCGATATTCCGAAACATTCCTGTACCGTAACGCCCGAACTCCGATTGAGTTTTTTTTTTTTTTTTTTCCGACGTCACACTGCGAACAATTTCTATTCGAACGCTCTCCGACGGCGGATAGAAGAGAAATAGAGAGGGAGAGAGAGAGTAAGAGAAAGGGAGACAGAGAGAGAGAGAGAGAAAATAAAAAGACGATTCGCCCATCACGTCTTTTTGACCTGAAAAATTATCACGAATTGTTTATACATAATGCGGCGGCGCATTGTGCGCTTGAATCGAAGCATATATGATGGGCTTTGTTGTCGTCGTGTATTATTGTAACCGGCGAAGCAGTTTTGCGATTATTTTCCTGCACGCGCACAACGAACGATATGTACACGTGTAGTGCGTTCACGAGCGCGCGCAGAGATACACATTATACGGGCGAGAGATCGAAACATCGTTTTCGACTTTCGTTTTGATTATCGGTAAACAATGCGGAAACGGGGGGAGGGGGAGGGGGCGAGCGTGTCGCGCAGAGGTGTACGGACAGAAGCGCGACACGGGCCATGAATAATACCGTCGCGCGTGCGTCGTCGTCCGCGTAATTCGTAAAAACGCTTTTTCATTGTCGTGCGGATACGTTTTCAATTGATCGATATGCGTAAAACGGAAAAAAAGGAACAAAGGAGAAACGAAAAACAAAACGTTTTGCCACTGGCGCCGTCGGTAATCGTACTGCGCCAACTGCGATCGGCCATCGTTTCGCGCACGCCCGTCCGCGATCTGACGTTTTGGACAAGTGTACGGCGACTTGGACGATACACCTATTTTGCTTGGATCTGCGTGCTGTACGATTGCGCGCGGTTGACAGGGCCGGACGTAGAACAAGTGCCGCCCTAGGCCCTTTTAAATATGCCGCCCCTACCTCGAGAAAAAAAAAATCTTGTAATTATTTCTAATTTGTTTATTTAATTTTAAAGAAATTAGGTCAACATTCATTATAAACAAAACAAATAATTCTAATTCGTCGTGTGCGATTTGGATACACAATATCTCTAGTCAACTCCTATGTATATATTATATTAGTATCGTAATCACTTTTAGGAACAACTTACATTATGTACCTAGGTAGGTATCTTATCTTTATAGCTCACATTACGAGAAAATTGATTTCGTGTTATTGACATTTTCAGTGTCATACGACCGTATATTTTATACACAGATATCTAAACTATAATATTAATTTACGCAGTTACATAAATGCATAAAATATTTATATGATTTTTTTTTATTTCTTACAAAATTTGCCACCATAGGCCCGAGCCTCACGGGCCTAGCCATAAATACGGCCCTGGCGGTTGATGATAAACGAGGAAAACGTGTCTGGTCGTGCGAAACGAAAACTTACGTGAACAGAATTGAAGAAATCGAGTGCCACACGCGGGCCCTGTTGAGAACATTACACAACTCACTTCTCAAATCAACAGGTTCACTTCAGTTCGGTTTACCATTTCCGACCATTTATAACGCGGTCGTCCGCACTATAAATATAAATATATCCGCGGTCTCTTGGGTTCGATCCTTAACTACTGTTTGTTTTTATTAATCGATAGGTTAATATTTTTGTATTGCACACTTATTTCGCGTTTCTATTACATTAAATAATACACATTATGTTTCAAAAAACTGGAGGGAAAAAAATTATAATTCATGTATCCATAATCGGGTGTACCGATTTAGCTTATAATTTCTCGTCGTAAAAAGTATTTAAAAAATAATTAATTTCAATATTACATTTTGTACTATACACGTTTACGTATAATTCTATTATTATCGTTTCTCTTCACGATTGTACGATTGAAACGGACGTAAGAATATGTAATAAAATTTTAACTATACGGCTAACATTACTCAATAGCAGTAAGTTAGGCCATCGTAATGGTTTTGCTAATTATGATTTATCCGTTTTGACCTACAACTATCGTCACTATTAATGACTAGGGAGCTATAATGCAAGGACAAACTTTTGATAGTATTACTCGTATAAGCAACTACAATTTGTTTCCAAATCGCTTCTCTTTTTTTTTTTCACTTATGCACTAAACGACGTGATCTGTGATCTGTTGCTGATGAAATATTTACAGGGATAACGCAGTAAATAAGTAGTCGCATGATGATTTAGGTAACCGGTTCGGAGAATGTCACATTTTGAAATTTCACCCTCAAACATAATCGTGCATAATCGTTAAAATTATTGCTTGATTTTATTTTTATCCTTAAAAAGTGTATGTTTCTACGAAAATGATGTTTTTATAATGGATCTATTATTTATTTTCAACGCATCAAACTTGATTGTAACATTCTTTAAACTCGTATTAAATAAAATATTTAATTTTGGATCAACCATCTACTCGCACAGTGTTTACCCTGAATTGAGCCACTGAATTAGCGATATTTAATTCTATGTATTGTCGATTGATTTTTTTTTTTTCATTACAATAGGTGTGATTGTGGTACGAATAAACTTGAAATGCAGATCTTAAATCGAATGAGTGTAATGTGGAAGTTTACTCATTATTCAACATCATACAAGTTCGATTGCAGTTGCCTACATAACGTTTGTAAATTGTTTATTTTCACTTAATCGGTTATGAAACGGTCAATTTCCTCAATTATGTCCATGTTATTTATACGTTTTAGTTTTAATTTATAACTAAATGTTGTTTATCGCTTGTTAACTGATTCGGGATACCTCCGGTAGAGTTAAAAGTGAAAATGTATACGTAGATATAAATAATGTGTGCACTGCCAAACTAGTTTGTAGCTCGAATTATCATGAATTTATATTTCGGCGCGCATAAAATATACAAAAAAAAGGTTAATTTCACATAATTTTATCCCTCTCCTACAACACATCCAAATGGAATAATTGAATTTTTCCCCGAGTGCGTACCTATTATATGTTTAACTTATCGCGCGTAATATGATCCGTTCAGCTGTCGCCGTGGGACGACGCATCCAGTTAACGGTAGATACTAACAACAAAATAAACTAACAACACGCGGACGCGTTCGATATTATTTATCGAAAACAGCGGAACCTTGAACTTGTGTATTCAAAGCGATTAGGTGTAACCCGTGTACACGCCTAAGATTGTATTGGGTGAGTGCGCGCGCACGCTCTCGAGTCAACAACGTTTGTCACCGATAAAACTAAAAGTTATTTCAACCGTGTACGCGTCGCATAAATAGAACAGTGCAAATTACCACCCGCAATTGAATATTGCTTTTCGATCGATATGTAAACTTATCGTTACCGAATTTCCCATGCCGTCCGTCTGAATACCGTGTCGCAGACGAGAACAGGCGGTTAACAAGTACGCGTGTTCCGAACCAATAACTCGTTGGAACCACCGCGGTATAGAAATCGTTTGTAACAACCTAACCTGCTACGACCGAGTACTCGAATTGACATCGTGTATCGGCAG